TCAATGTCAAGAGGTGACAGTGCCATGCTACATATTTTTCACTGTATATACCTCAGATATCTTTAATAAGTTCTGAAGAACATCACAATTGGAGACAGCTCTTAAGGGAAAATAAAAATCACAAAACGTATCAGAATTGTGAGCTGTAGTCAAATAGAAGTCAGGGTTCTAACCAGTGGTTTTCCAGAACATTCTGTGGGAAAGTAGAAGCGGATTCAGTGGTAAAAGGAAAATACAAACTCCAGCCAGGCATGGTGGTTCATGCCTGTAATCCCAGCACTTTTGGAGGCCGAGGTGGGATGATCACCTGAGGTCAGGAGTTCAAGACCAGCCTGGCCAACATGGTGAAATCTCGTTTCTACTAAAAATACAAATATCAGCCAAGCGTGGTGGTGGGCACCTGTAATTCCAGCTACTCAGCAGGCTGAGGCAGGAAAATTGCTTGAACCCAGGAGGTACTTGCAGTGAGCCAAGATGGCGCCATTGCACTCCAGCCTGGGCAACAAGAGTAAAACTCTGTCTCAAACAAACAAACAAACAAACCTTGGAACCCCAATTAACTCTGCAAAAAAGTAAAAAAAATGAAGCTGAAAGCTGAGCCTTGCAAGAAGTTGCCTTCCCTTTTGTTGCTAAGCAGACAACTACAAGTAAAAGGTTAAATACTTCCACAGGTAGCTATTCTATGTTCACCTGATCTTAAGTGAAGTGCCAATTTACTGAGAGCTGGGGGAATACATAATTGACTCTTCCACTATCGGCCTCTTTTCTCCCGCAATATGTGAATTACCACACTCTGCGTCTTCCCTCTCCAGCCCACTCTTCCCCTTTAAATACTGAAGCCATCAAATAAATACTGAGACCACACACTGTTTCTGTGATTCCATGTTCTTCTCTCCTGGGCATATCCTTAATCTTGGCAAAGTAAGTTTCTAAATTGATTGAATCCACAGAGACTTCTCGATTCACACAGTCATGCGATTACTAAAAAAATCTTGGGTGAGTCCAGCTATCAGAGACATTCGAACAACAGCGACTCCATCTTGAACAGGTGCTAGATAAAATAAGGGTGAGACCTATTGGGCTGCATTCCCAGAAAGTTAGGCATTCTTCTTCATGGGAGGTCAGCACAAGATACTTGTCACAGAGACCATGCTAATAAAGCAAGATGCAGTAAAGAAGCTGTGCAAATCCCACCAAAAACAACGTGGTGATGAAAGTGATCTCTGGTCATCTTCCCTGCTCATTATGAGGCAGAAGAATGGGGTCTGGAGGGAGAGAACCTAAGGCTGATTCACGCTGACTTCCTAGAACTAAATCAAAAGGAAAATCCCAATTTTCCATGCTCAAATAACAAAAGGACCCTTTGCAACACCCTCCCTCCTTTTTCTCTGGGGCAGATGAGAATTTTTTTTTTTTTTGAGATAGAGTCTCACTCTGTCATCTAGACTGGAGTCCAGTGGTATGATCTTGGCTCATTGCAACCTCTGCCCCCTTGGTTCAAGTGATTCTCCTGTCTCAGCCTCCTGAGTAGCTGGGACTGCAGGTGTGCACCACCACATGTGGCTACATTTTTTAAAAAATATTTTTGGTAGAGATGGGATTTCACCATGTTGGCCAGCCTGGTCTTGAACTCCTGACCTCAAGTGATTGGCCCACCTCAGCCTCTCAAAGTGCTGGGGTTACAGGCATGAGCCACCCTGCCAGGCAACTGAAATTGAAAGTACCTCTGTTTAGAACTCTCCTGCAACCAATAAGGCTGGTCTCGGGCCAAGTCGTCATTTGCATAGAAGAATAAATTCATAACTTCACTTCAGTCCCTGACTGGTCACTTTCTGCAACCAATCAGACATCTGCATAAGGCGTAACTTTGTAACTTTGCTTCTGGTTACCTTGTAACTTTGCTTCTGTAACTAGCTTCTGGTTAGTCTTTTCCCACAATCAATCAGACTGATCAAGGGCCGCTACTTCGTTTACACAGGGTGTACACCAAGTAACCAACGGGAAACCTCTAGAGGGTATTTAAACCCCAGAAAATTCTGTAACCAGCTCTTGAGGCACCTGCTTTGGCTGCTCCCACCCTGTAGAGTGCACTTTCCTTTTCAATACATCTCTCCTTTTGTTGCCTCATTCTTTCCTTGCTTTGTGCATTTTGTCCAATTCTTTGTTCAAGACACCAAGAACCTGGACCCCCTCCACTGGTAACAGTTATACACTAATTATAATGCATTAACATGTGGAAAGACACTCCTACTAGTGCCAGGACAGTTTACAGATGCAATGACAATGTCAGGAAGTTACCCTACATGGTCTAAGAGGGAGGAACCCTCAGTTTCAGGAACTGCCCACCCCTTTTTCTGGAAAACTCATTAATTCACCCCTTATTTAGCATATAATCAAGAAATGCTATAAGTATATTCAGTCAAGCAGCCCATGCTGTTCTCTGCCGATGGAGTAGCCATTCTTTTATTTTTTTTTTACTTCTCTAACAAATTTGCTTTCACTTTACTTTATGGCCTTGCCCTGAATTCTCTCTTGTACAAGTTCCAAAAACCCACTCTTGGGGTCTGTATCGGGATCCTTTTCTGGCAACACAACCTTGGCCATGAACTGGCCACTGCACTTAAACCATTTCAAGCCCAGTTCCCACATATTAAAGAGGTTTAGTAAATGTGAAGTGAGTCTGAACACACAAAGCTCTCAGCACAGTGCCTGGCACAGGGGACACACTCAAAACATGGTAACCACCGTTACTCGAAGTTTCAGAGGATCTTTCCTAACCAATCTTGAGTTCTGCCACTTTAGTACTAGTACGATTTGTTATCTAGGGTAAGGTTGGGGGAGGATCGATAAGGTGCCCCTTGGTTCAGAGATCAGCAAGTGGAGTCATACTCTTGGAACGTGGTCTGATGGTGAGCATGCACCTGTGATACTGTGATATAGTAACAAACGCTTGTTTGGTCTGTATACCTGTTTACTGAATGCAGCTCCTAAAACTCTTATGCTCTCCAAAGTGATAAGTGTCTTTTGGTATGCCAATGATTGACTGGTGGCCGGGGTCTCCTGGAGAGCTTTGGGATAGGGCCTGGGTGCCAGAGGAACCAACCCTAGTATTACAGGGTTCGAACTATCCGCCCCAAGTCCTAGAAACAGGAAAAGGGGCTTACACTTGTAATCCTAGCACTTTGGGAGGCTGATGTGGGTGGATCACTTGAGGTCACGAGTTCAAGACCTGTCTGGCCAACATGGTGAAACCCTGTCTCTACTTTAAAAAAAACAAAAAACAAATACAAAAATTAGCCAGATGTGTTTCTGGGCACATGTAATCCCAGCTACTTGGGAGGCTGAGGCAGGAGAACTGCTCGAATCTGGGAGGTGGAGGTTGCAGTGAGCTGAGATTGCGTGACTGCACTCCAGCCTGGGTGGCAGAGCGAGACTCCATCTCAAAAAAAAAAAAAAAAAAAAAGACAGGAAAAGGGTTGGAGATTGACTTAATCACCAGTTGTCAATGATTTAGTCAATCATGCCAAAGTAACAACGCTTCCATAAAAACCCAACAGGATGGAGATCTGAGAGCTTCCAGGCATATGACCCCATGGAAGTGCTGGGAGGTGTGCACCTGGAGGGAGCACGGGAGTTCTGGAAAGTTCCGTACCCTCTCCCAAACCTCTCCCCTCTGGCTGTTCCTGAGTTGCATCCTCTTACAATAAACTAGTCATCTAGTTACTCAACTGTTCTCTTGTGTTCTATGAGCCCTTCTAGTAAATGCTCGAACCTGAGTAGGGAGCCATGGGAACCTCTGACTTGTAGCCAAGTTGGACAGAAGTTGAAAGTAACCTGGAGATTCATTACTTGTGCGACTGGCATCTCAAGTGGGGACAGTCTTCTGGGACTGAGCCTTCAACCTGTTGGGTCTGCACTAACTCCAGGGGGATCATGTCAGAATTGAGTATCAGGACATGGTATTGGTGTCTGCAGAGCATTGGAGAACTGCTTGCTGTTGGGGGAAAAAAACACCCACATCTGGTGTTGGAAGAACTGAGAGTAGTGGCGGAGTAGAGAGGAAACAGGAGCTTTCTCTTCGGCACCCCAACAGTTAGCGGCACTGAGCTGAGGAAGCTAACACTGAGTTGGATCTTTCTCAAGGCATGGCAGATGTGCTTCATAGCTCTAAGGCCACCCACCGAGGTCAGGAACCATGAGCTGTTGCTAAGGAGAAAGTGCATGCATGGTAACACAACCCCCAGGAAAACAGTTGGGGAGTTAACGTCTCCACCGATGATTTGTACAGTTTAACAATCCATGCTAATTGCCTAACGCACCTCCGTTTCAGAGCCTGAGCACCTGGCATGGTGCACCTGACGCAGTCTAGGAACCTGAGCCTAGGCATGTCCTTAACTTTGGTGAAATAAGCTTCTAACTTGATTGAGACCTGTCACAGAGACAGGTCTTGCTTGCTGCCAGGGGGTGACTGTGGAGCCAAAGTCCACTGTCCCTGAGAACCCCCTTCCCCTCCAGCCCTAGGCTTCCCTGTATGTTAAATAGCAGGACTGCAGGGTACCCTTCAACTCTAAACACATTATAATCCCACCAGCTGCGGTCATGTTCAGATTTGCAATGTTCCCCTTCGTCACCATGAGAGCTTCTTCCTACCCAAAACTATAATTATATGTTTTCAGAAGGCCCATTTTCTATGTGAGAAATTTCAGCAAAACATCTCAAAACATCATGTTCCATCATCTTGACTATCAGAGATAAAAGAGCTCTTAGCAAGCAAATCCAACCCTCACATTTAAAAATGAAAAACAGAAGCCCAGCAATTTTGGGTCTCACTCAAGGTCACAGAGAGCAGCGTCGCAGAGAGCTGCACCTGCAGCTTCTAGCTCCTTCTCTGGCACTTAAATCCAGTTACACACTGGCCCTGGTTCTGATACACGAAAAATCCTATTGAAACCTTAGGGAATTATTTTTCACTTTAGATGGCAGTTTTCAATTGCTATTTTACAGCTAAGAAAGATAAGTATGTTTTTTAAAGAAGTAAACACAACTGTAAAGTCAATCTCCTTCTTCACTTTGGCTATTTAAAGCAAGTTACGTGAATTCTCTGGGTGACTGATAAGAGAAGGCACACATTCCTGGCATCCCTTACAACACACCAGTGCACCAGATGAGTATTGACTGATGGCTTCACACACTAATAAGTGCAGAGTCTGTTCCTAGGAAAATGCTCTGCATGCGTCATTAAGTCTATTTTCAGGCTTGCTGTCTTGAATTGAAAGTAAACTAGCGCTGGTGATTCTGAATTTAAATGTGATTTCGGTAAGGAAAGGAGAAAGCGTAACATATTTTCAGGGCTTGGGTCCTGGCAATATTTTTTTAAAGGCTGTAATAAATCTATAGACTTTTACAAGATATTACTTTTACAAGTTCTTTGAATAACAATCAATTCATATTAACCTGAGTCTAAATACTCCTATCCAAAACAGGCATTTTCTTCCACTGTAGATGAATCATACCGTATTATACCAAATAGAAATCACCTGTGATACTTTAAAAGACAAGGTGGGTCCCACCTGAAAAGTATTTCACAGACTTGCCAGTGGGTGGAGCCAAAGCATGGACAGTTTTTACTGATGACCTTCAAAAGCACCACAGTTGATTCTCATACATATCTTTGATTAAGAATCACTGATATTACTCCCCTCCCTGTGTCCATGTGTTCTCATTGTTCAACGCCCACCTATGAGTGAGAACATGTGGCGTTTGATTTTCTGTTCTTGTGTCAGTTTGCTGAGAATGATGGTTTCCAGGTTCTTCTATGTCCCTACAAAGGACACGAACTCATCATTTTTGATGGCTGCATAATATTCCATGGTGTATATGTACCACATTTTCCCTGTCCAGTCTATCATCGATGGGCATTTGGATTGGTTCTAGGTCTTTGCGAAATGGGGGAGGGACGGGGGGTGGGGCAGTGGGGAGAGATAGCATGGGGAGAAATGACAGATATAGGTGAAGGGGAGGAAGGCAGCAAATCACACTGCCATGTGTGTACCTATGCAACAATCTTGCATGTTCTTCACATGTACCCCAAAACCTAAAATGCAATAAAAAAAAAAGAATCACTGATATGACCCAACAGCAATGCAAATTCTGCTGCACCATCTCAGTATCTCCCACTTTCAGGAATGGAACTCTCCACTGGAAGAAATAGAGAATGTATTCTATAGCAGCGATGCTCAAATTCGATTTTGCATTATTTTTGGCAGCTGGGGTGGGGCTTGCTGAAAATACATATGGGACATCTTACTCCAAAGCTAATAAACTGAAATAGCTACAGAAAGGCGAGCTCAGGTGGCTACATTTTAAACAAAGGTATGAAGAATATTTAGAAGCACACAAAATTTGAGAACCAAATCTCTTTGAAAATTTTCCTGAAAGGCTGCTTGTTTTCTAAAGATTGAACTGAAAATGACAAATGAATAAGGAGATGTTTTCTAAAGACTGAACTGAAAATAGTAAACTTTAGTAGGAGATGTAGTTGTATCGACACAATTTTAAAACATACCTAAATTTGAACCAAAGACACTCAAGCTCTTCTAACCATTCCCCACACCACCACTGCATGGGTCAACGTTAGGCAAAGGAGATAGCTTTTATCATGGAACCAAGGTAGGCAAGAAGAGGAGAAAAATGGGCTGGGGGCCAGGCACAGTGGCTGACACCTGTAATCCCACCACTTTTGGATCATCTGAGGTCAGGAGTTCGAGACCAGCCTGGTCAACATGGTGAAACCCCATCTCTACTAAAAATAGAAAAATTAGCTAGGTGCGGTGGCATGTGCCTTAGTCCCAGCTACTTGAGAGGCTGAGGCAAAAGAAACACTTGAACCTGGGAGGCGGAGGTTGCAGTGAACCGAGACAGTATCACTGCGTTCCAGCCTCGTCAACAGACTCCATGTCAAAAAAAAAAAAAAAAAAAAAGAATAAAGCAAAGTGGGCTGGATACTGGAGGAATGGAGACTCCTTATTCAAGAATGGCTTAGCTGGTCAACCATGGGGCTCAAGAAGGACAGAAAAGAAAGCGAAGCCAGGGGGGCGTGACCTACCAAAAGAAAACGGAGAAACTGAAACCCTTAAGGTGCAAATGACATCGAAGAGCAGACGCAGTAGGAATGAGGGCTGCGATGGAGCCAGAGAGATGACTGTAACAAAAAAGGAGCTATGGGAGTCAAACACGTCTGGGGTGAGACATATTTGTTACTTTACATACAGGTTTTCCCAGAGCAGTTAAACAGAAAACAAATGCCTAGTGATATTGTGACGTTGCTTGACTAGTATATATTTGCAGAGGTATTTATAATCTTTAAAACATCTTTATAGACTTCATTTACTATATACATTTCCCTACCTAACCATTTCTTCTTTACCTCAATTATAAAAGGACTTTTTTTTTTTTTTTTTGGGATGGAGTTTTGCTCTTGTTACCCAGGCTGGAGTGCAATGGCGCGATCTCGGCTCACCGCAACCTCCGCCTCCTGGGTTCAGGCAATTCTCCTGCCTCAGCCTCCTGAGTAGCTGGGATTACAGGCACGCACCACCATGCCCAGCTAATTTTTTGTATTTTTAGTAGAGACGGGGTTTCACCGTGTTGACCAGGATGGTCTCGATCTCTCGACCTTGTGATCCACCCACCTCGGCCTCCCAAAGTGCTGGGATTACAGGCTTGAGCCACCGCGCCTGGTCTTAAAAGGACATTTTTAAGATCCCTTCTGAGTCAAGAAGTCAAATATTTTCAACAGATATATTAAGTACTGTTATTCCCACTTTGCAAATGAAGAACCTAAGATGGAGACCCCAAATCACATAGTTATACATGGTAGAGACTGCACTCAGCTGTAATTCCAACTCCACTGCCTCATAATTTCTGCTCCAATTTGAGGCTTTGGCTAACTAGTGCTCCAAAGGACATGGAAAAAAAATTCAAAGGCATAAACCATGGGCAGTTTAACAAAAACCAGCGGCTGCATGATCATATCTTCCTATCTTGCAGAAAATGATACTGACAAAAATGAATTTTGGGGTATAAAAATAAATATTTGAATTACATTCGGTGGGGAAAAGGGTAGTCTTTAATATGAGCAAATAATTTCTTTAATTTTAAGGTCTTCCAGAAACACTCATCTGACAAACTTTTCAATTCTGTTCAACACCTTTCTTTCTTTCTTGAGATGGAGTTTTGCTCTTGTTGCCCAGGCTGGAATGCAGTAGTGTGATCTCGGCTCACTGCAACCTCCACCTCCTGGTTTCAAGATATTCTTCTGCCTCAGCCTCCCGAGTAGCTGAGATTACACGCGCCCGCCACCATATCCAGCTAATTTTTTGTATTTTTAGTAGAGACAGGGTTTCAACATGTTGGCCAGCTGGTCTTGAACTCCTAACGTCAGGTGATCCACCTGCCTCGGCCTCCCAAAGCGCTGGGAATATAGGTATGAGCCACCGTGCCCAGCCCTGTGTAACATCTTTCATTTGACCACATCGATGGCTGTGGGACTTGAAATGGGATCTACCATAATATTAATGCTGCTGTTGAGAAACGGGAGAATGGACACTGGGGTGCTTGGCTCAGACATTCATACCGTTTCGCCTTGCATGTCAGTCTGTGTGACCAGGTTGAGTTCCCTTAAGGACAAATGGTGTTTGCTTTAGGTTTTAATTCTGATGCTGAAACCACCACCCTCCACACCCAGCATTTGAGAAAGATTGCAACAAACATCTCACTGCCTACCAGGTGTCAGACACTGAAGACACCAAGCTGAGTGCTTGTGAAAAATCAATTTAAAGGGGTAAGAGACACAGTGTAACAGGATCTGGTGAACTTTATGTATAATTTAGGGCTGAACAAACTGTATGCAAACGATCTATGCAATGCAACTGAAGCAGGTTTAGAGAAGAAAGGCCAGAGATATAATGTGTGTGTCTGTGTGTGTGTGTGTGTGTATAACTAACATAAATAGTATATATTATATATAGTATCTCGTCTATATAGTATATCATATATAATATATATATAATATAGTATATCATACATAGTCTAGATATAATATATACCATATAATATATAGTATATGTAATACATGCCGCATATAATAGTCTGTATATAATATATGCCATATATCATAGTCTATGTGATATATACCATATATCATATACAATGTATGTATTATATACAGGATGGCCAGGCTGACCTCAAACTCCTGACCTCAGGTAATCCTCCCAACTCAGCCTCCCAAAGTGCTAGGATTACAGGCATGAGCCACCATGCCTGACCCTAAATATATTTATTAATATGGATTAAAAAATTTTTAATTTTGGCTAGTACAAACATCTGGTTTCCTTAAATAAAGATGAAAATACATTCAATAAATATATTTCTGGGCATCCATTCCTAAGTTGAATACTTTATTTTAAATATTAATTTTCATAGATATTAATTGCAAAATGAATTTACAGCATGATAAAGAAAAAACATTGAGTATAATTAATCTATGTTTTCGTTGTTGGGGTACATTCAAAGATGAATAGAACCAGGACTCTTAACCTCAAGATCCCAGGACTTACTGGGGCGGAAAACACTGTACATAAATATATATAAATGTGGTTAAACAGGCTTTAATAAAGAGTAGGCAGGATTTAGAGAAACTGTATGAAACATTAAATTTATTAGTAACAAGATATTCCTTCAAAGGATGCGGTTAAAATTGTATAGTAACTTCTGGAACAAACCATGAAAACACTGTTGAACTTACTTTACTATCAGTAACTCTCCATCTCAAGAAAGTCATCTCTCACTGAGCCTCAATTTGTACAAACATAAAATTAAGAGGTCAGAACTGAACTATTTGTAATATTGTCTAAGTTTTCCTAAGAACCACCCACACAGGAGTCAGAATTCTAGATTTGGATACGGTTTAGGAATTTGCTAGGATTAAGCAAAGGAGACTTGGAGCATTTAGAGTAGCGTTTTAGAAAGTTCCTCAAATCCACCAGGTTGGTTTTCATTCAAAATATACAAGCTAAAAAGTTGAGCTATCTGCTGTGCTTGCCAACAACAAAATAAATACATCAAGTGGGATGATACTAGAGAGGCAGAAATATTAGCAACAAAACAAAGGCAGAGGGAGTAATGACAGACTGGTGTAAAGGAAGGAATGTGAAAAGCCAACACACCCAATGGCAATGTCCATGGTGCTGAACTTGACCCCCTAACGGTGATTGATACACCCAACTAGGCTCTGTGATTTCTTTTCCCCTGCCCAAGATGGGGTCTCTTCCTGTCACCCAGGCTGGAGTGCAGTGGTGCAATCACAGCTCACTGCATGCTGGATGGCCTGGGCCCAAGCGATCCTCCTACCTCAGCCTCCAGAGTAGCTGGGACCACAGGCGTGCACCACCATGCATGGCTAATTTTTCAATTTTTATTTTTGTAGAGACAGGGTCTTGCTTTGTTGCCCAGGCTGCTCTTGTACTCTCGGCTCAAGCAATTCTTAAAACTATTAAATTTGAAAATAGTTGCTTGTTCACAGCAACCAGTGCCAGTTATCTGCAAAGCCAGTGTGGAATTTCTCATTCTCAAAGGAAATTTTTGTATACCAATGATTCTCAACCTTGGCTGTACATCGCCTATGGTGCCTTTAAGGAATTCAGACGCTCAGGTTTCTTGCCTGCAGATTCAGATTTAGTGAGTTTGGGGTGATGTTTATATTTGTATATTTTAAAGTTTATTTGTTTGTTTGAGACAGGGTCTGGCTCCAGGCTAGAACGCAGCAATGTGATCTCAGCTCACTGCAACCTCCACCTTCTGGCCTCAAGCAATTCTCCTGCCTCAGCCTCTCAAGTAGCTGAAACTAAACATGCACACCACTATGCCTAACTAATTTTTAAAGTATTTTTTGTGGAGATGAGGTTTCTGGTCTCAAGCTCTTGAGCTCAAGTGATCAGCCTGCCTCAGTTTCCCAAAGTATTGAGAATAAAGGCTTGAGCCACTGAGCCTAGCCTGTATATTTAAAGGGAGCACTACACACTGGGGTCTGTTGGAGGGAAATAGGGGAGGGACCGTGGGGGGTGGGGAGTTGGGGAGAGAGAGCATGGGGAGAAATGCCAGATATAGGTGAAGGGGAGGAAGGCAGCAAACCACACTGCCACGTGTGTACCTATGAAACAATCTTGCATGCTCTTCCAATGTACCCCAAAACCTAAAATGCAATAAAAAATTTAAGTAACCCTGAGAAAAACTGGTGTTTGAGCACCCCACTTCTACAGGGTACTTACTTTTCTTTATTTCTGATCACCATGTGCCCGGCAAAGGTATGCTGTTTATTAATTTTAAAATGTAGGATTGCCATCTTCCTTAAAGCCCAAGTCACATATTGTGAATTCATTTGTTTCTTTAATTCACACACACACACAAAAAAAGACTTTTGGGGACACTAACAATATTCTATGTATCATATTAAACAGTAGGGGAATTCAAAGACAAACATGACTAAACAGAAGCCAGAACCCTGTGAAGGAGACAGGCTTACAAACCATTGCAATGCGTTGTGAGTACTTTAGCCTGGTTAAGAAGGAAAAATGAAAGCATTGCAAAGAAGAGGTTGATAGGCTGTGCCTGGGGAGGGGTTTAGAAGAGAAGCAAATTGGCAGCAAAGCTCCCAAGGGAGAACCCATTTGAGCTGGGTT